CCACACCACCACATATCATTGTAAAATTTTAGTACACTGGAGACAGAGTAGATTGTACAAGATTATAGTGAGAAAAAAACAGGTTTCATACAATCGTAAGAAGTTGAATGTATTGGACTTCTTAATGGCAGCTCTGGAAGCTAAAGAATAATAATGCTTCAGAATTCTAAAGTAAAATTACTTCTATTTACAATTCTATACCAAACCAAACTATCAATCATCAGACTAAAATAAAGTCTATTTCAGACCTACAAGTTCTCAAAAAATACACATTCCATGCATCCTTTCTCAAGAAGCTAAAAGAGAATGTGCTTCACCTAAATGAGGAATAAACCAAGAAAAAGTAGGACATGTGATCAAAGAAATAAGAAACCTAACAGGGAGAGGTAAAAGTAATCACAGATGGACAGGTTAGAGCAGTTCAGGAGACTGGAAGAGAGGTCTTCAAAAACAGTGAAATTGATGCAATACCTAATGTGTTTGAACAAACCGAAGAAACTTAACCTGTTGGGCTGTAGTTTAGGGTTATTACATAAAAAAACTAAACAAAAAAAAGTATCGTCAACTCTAGGATAAACAGATTAGTATAGGAAGGGAAAATTAATCATAGGATACTGCTTGGCTGAGCTGTGAATAGCATTTAATTACCTAGCCATAATAATATAAACCTAAACATTATCTGTCCAAATTAGGCTGTAACTATATTGGAAACATGAGGATGAGATGGGATCAAAAAGTATCCATGTTCATGAAGCGGTCTTGGGAAGTGAAGCAAAAGAAAAGTGAATTCTTATGTTCCATGGTGAGAAGTCAATAGGTAAAACTTTTAAAAATAGCAATAGAATCATAATCCACATTATTTAAAGATGTGGCGGTAAATACCAAAAAAGGCTAAAAGAAGTGAAAATGGTTAACTCTAGGAAGAAGGAAATGGAGGCAGGGGCTGTAGGATGGCTTATAAACCTTAGAGAATGATTTGACTCCAAACTATGTGCATTATAAACAAAAACAGTTGCCATGAAGTTGATTCTGACTCATGGTGATCCCATGTGTGTCGGAGTAGCACTCTCCTCCATACAGCCTTCAATGGCTGATTTTTTGGAAGTAGGTTGCCAGGCCTTCTGTGGTACCTCAAACCTCCAGCCTTTCAGTTAGCAGCCAAGCACATTAACCATTTGCATATATAACCTTAATAAAATAAAAACAAAATTAAAAAATAAATACATGCACAAAAATTCTGTAAGAATGTACAGGAAACTTAATCATTGTTCTTGGAGAATAAGTGACTTTGCATTTCTGATTTATATATTCTGTGAGGTTTTTAAATATATTGAACATGTATTACATCTGTAATATAAAAATATAATTAAAGTAAAACAGGAATCTAGGAAGCAGAAGGAGAAAAATAATTCTTCAAAATGTCTCAAAGATACCTTGTGGGAACTTTATATCCCTACTTATGTCATTGTGGAAACCCTGGTGGCGTAGTGGTTAAGAGCTACGGCTGCTAACCAAAACGTTGGCAGTTCGAATCCACTAGGCGCTCTTTGCAAACTCTATGGGGCAGTTCTGCTCTGTCCTATAGGGTCACTATGAGTGGGAATCGACTCAACGGCAGTGGGTTTGGTTTGGTTTTTTTTTTATGGCGTTGTGGAGAGGGCAATGGTGGTTTAGTGGGAGACCTGGGTTCAATTCTCAGCCAGTGCACCCCATGCACAGCCACCACCCATCTGTCATTGAAGGCTTCCGTGTTGCTGTGATGCTGAACACTTTTCAGTGGAGCTTCCAGACCAAGACAGGCTAGGAAGAAAGGCCTGGCGATCTACTTCTGAAAATCAGCCAGTGAAAACTGTATGAATCACAACAGTCCAATCCCATTTTGCACGGGGTCTCCCTGAGTGGGGGTGCTGACTCAGTGGCAACTAACAACAACGTCATCGTGGAATAGACAACTAAAACCTTGCATTCCATTTGGAACCCTACCAAACTTTCGCTGCTAGCTTTGTTTTGGAGGCAGTCATTAGGGTCATACTCTTTTTACATATTCTTATCTTTCTGCCTCACTCCTCAGTCAGGTTTGGTTTATTAGGTATAGCAGCAAGGAAGTTTTTAATTCGTAATTACTAGTATTAAGTCAGTCCCCAGGTAGTGCAGACAGTTAACACGCTCGGCTGGTAACCAAAAGATTGGAGGGTCAAGTTCACCCAGAGTCACCTTGGGAGAAAGACCTGGCAGTCTAATTCTGAAGAATCAGCCATCGAAAACCTATGGAGCACAGTTCTACTCTGACACAAATGGGGTCACCATGACTAAGAGTTGACTCAATAGCAACTGGAAGAAGTACTAGACAGTTATTTTCAGTAACATTACTGGAGGAGAATTTTGAGTTATATTTATCATACCAATTTATTCTGGCATCCACTAACCATGTCTCTAAACCCAAAGAGCTGTGCTTGGGAAAACATCTCTCAAAACTCCAGAGGGTTCTTAAGATATGAAGTAAGGAGGCACATACATACACATTTATATTTATAAAGATCTCTGATGTTTCACCAAAAGGTGGGTGCAATCATGCATGTGGTAATAACTTCAATGGCAGACAGCCAAGATCTAATACTCAACTCTCATCTTTTTTACCATCTTTTAAAAAAACAAATCATCTGTTAATAGCAATCTTTATTGTCCAACATGAGTTTCATTTGAAATTATGTATTATACTTTCCAAATCCCTATGTTGTCCAGAGATATCAAGGAGATGTTAGTATTTTATTTTTAAGAAGACTTTATAGCTGTCTTAGTTATCTAGTGCTGCTATAACAGAAATACCACAAGTGGATGGCTTTAACAAGTTTATTCTTTCTCACAGTCTAAGAGGCTAAAAGTCCGAATTCAGGGGTCCAGCTCCCAGGGAAGGCTTTCTCTCTGTCTGCTCTAGCAGAAGGTCCTTGTCATCAGTCTTCCCCTGGTCTAAGAGCTTCTCAGCACAGGGACCCCAGGCCCAAACAATGCACTCCCCTTTTGGTTTTTCATTCTTGATGGCAGGAGGCCCCCCGGTCTCTCAGCTCATATTTTTATATCTCAAAAGAGATTGATTCAAGATGCAACCTAATCTTGTAGATTGAGCCCTGCCTCATTAACATAACTGCCTCTAATCCTGCCTCGTTAACATCATAGAGGTAGGATTTACAACACACAGGAAAATCACATCAGATGACAAAATGGTGGACGATCACCATAGTAGGAATCATGGCCCAGTCAAATTGATACACATATTTTTGGGGGACATAATTCAATCCATAACAATATCCAAGCAGAAAATGCCAAAACAAATGAACTTTTGTATAAAGACATATAAACAACCAAAAAAAAAAATAACTGGTGGATTGGTAAGTAAATTATTTACCAATATATAAACAATTATCAAAGCCAGTTGTATGCTGAGGAAAACAAAAAGTGACCTGTTGGAATCAGAAGTCCAGGAATGAATTTCTCTGTGTTAGTAAATAATTTAACAATATTTTAGCAGATAAAGTGTCAGGATTTGAGGAATGAGAAAGTGAGATTCCAGAGAATGCCCCAATAAAATAACTGGAGTGGGAATATATATCCACAGTCATATCATTTAAAAGCAGTTTTTATTAAATGATTCTGTCATTTTATTCAAACATTTTTAAGGGATGAATTTAGTAAGAAGAGTCTTCTGTGATTTTAGTTCTTACATTATACTTCTCCTTTGTTTATGAGTAATCAAGTTTTAACTGCCTTGCCTTACACACAGTTTTAAGAGGAAGTTCAGCAAACTAGAAATAAAAGCAAAATTTAAGAAACAAAACTGAGGCCTGTAAATCAATAACATGGTAAAACTTTTTAAATCATGTTACATAATATTGTGGTGCTAAAAACAAGCAGTGTATAGAATTGCCTATATAAAATTCCTAGAAACGTGATAGAGTGAGCTTTGAAAAAAAACTTTCCATTGTACAATTCTGTGTGCCTATACTAAGATACCACTTTTACAGTCATTGAATAGAAGAAGATATGGTTTAAAAGTAAATATGTAAGTATATGCACACATACCCAATAAACAGCTTAATTTTGTAGATCTTTAAAATTCCTTTCTTTTTTCATTCTGGAGCCACCTCTTTTGCCTTAGAAATTCCATGCTTACTGTAATCTGTATATGTAGTCATTAAAATGATTGCCAGATTCTCATTTACCTCAGGAGTTAATAGAACTAGCCTACTCCAAGCAAGATTAACTAGGCATTAAAGAGAGCAGGAATCCGATTGATGCTTTATAACACTACTGTTATGCATGGAGTAAATTTGACATTTAATAATATGTTGCCTTATTTTATTTAACTTTTTTTTTTTATATTTTGCCTTTGAGCTTTTACCCAGAGACAACTGCATTTTGAAGGCTGTTGTAATCCACCAAAACCCTAGGGGTTTGGGAAAGAAGTGGAAGAGTGAGTGTTCTGATGCTGTAGAGTATCTAGTCAGCCAACCCTTTTTTTCCATCAGCAACTTGCTTCTGCAGACTCTTTATATTATCCTACACTGGGAAGTCTGATCTGGTGTTGATGATTTCTGTAGCAATCGATTGCACTGATTGTCCTAAAGGAATGTAGGGGGAGTGGTAGGGACAATAGTTAAAAATTCCTAACCTATTCTCTCATTACTGTTTTCAGCTATCCTCAGCAGTGTGTTCCCTCAGCCCCACTCCATACACATACACAAATAACACACAGTTCAGGACAAATTTCATTGTAACCAGGTGTGCTGGGTTGAATAGTATCCTGCCAAAAATCATGTTCACCTGGAAGTTTGGAATGTGACCTTAGTTGGAAATACAGGTAGTCCCCGACTTAGGCCATATTCAAATGATGGCAAACCGCACTTAAACCACCGTCAGTTTTTGTTTTTCTTACATCTTACCATTAGCAATATGTACTACATACAGTGTTGCAGCATGTAATTTGCTGATGTTATCATTCTCAGGTATTCACTCACTGACAAAGATCGGATTTATAAAGATACTCATAATAAAAGGCAATAATAATGAAAACAAAACAAAACAGTATTTGACTTACATCAGAAGCGACTTACCACCAAGTTATCAGAATGGAACCCTGAGGTAAGTCGGGTACTACCTGTAAGAATCTTTCCAGATGATTATTTCAAATGAGTTTATACTGGATTAAGGTGGTCCCTAAATCCAGTCTTAGAAACTGGTGTCCTTATAAGAAGAGGAGAGGACACGCAGAGGAGAAGGCCATATGAAGACGGAGGCAGAGAATAGAGTGATGCATCTACCAGCCAAGGAGCACCAAGGATTACTGGCAGCCATCAGAAACTAGGAGAAAGGCATGGAGCAGATCCTTCGCTAGCACCTTCAAAGGAAGCATGTCCCTGCTGACACCTTAATTTTGGACTTCTAGCCTCGAACTGTGAGAGAATAAATTTCTGTTGTAAGCCACCTAGTCTGTCGTCATTTGTTGCAGCAGCTAAAGGAAACTAATACTGCAGAATCTCCTCACAGTTGCTTACATTATTCCTCAAGCCCTTGCTTCCTTCTTGTTTCTGTGGTTTCCCAGGGTTAATTTGCAGGGAGGAAGCCAACAGCCCTTATTAGTTCTCCATTTTCTCAGGAACCGTACATAATTCACAGTCTTCACTTTGCCTTAAGGCTCACTGGCTCTTTTCTTTGTGTTTATAAAGTACACATTCATTCACTTACTAGTTCAGTCAACATCGAGTGCCTCCTTTTCTAGAAGTCACTTTATAATTTCATGACTACCTCATTGAGATCTAACCGTTAGAGTTCTAGTGAATGCACTCCTGCATATAAACTAAAAATTTGATAGTTTAGCTTCCTGCATATAAAATGAAAATATAAAACTGGACATGTCTACATTTGCCTCAACAATCCATACAATTACTGTGAAGGAAAATGACTTTAAAGTTATAAAAGTTATACAAATATTAAGTACATGTTATTCTTTGTAGCATAAGTAAGTTTTTAAAATTAAAAGTTTTTTTTTTTTATTATCTGTACACACCGGTCACTTAGCTTTTTATGAAGACATGCTGGCAGTCCCACTGATCATTCCAGTCACTTATTAACCTAGCCCTCATGCAAGGCACATTTATTAGGTTCTGTAAATGATATCAAGAAATAAAATGTTGGTTGCTTTAAGGTAAGATTTTGGATATTGGCTATATAAAGAAAATCACAGCTTGGGTCTGAATTTAAAGATGTGTGCTGAAGAACCGGAAGGCTGACATTTGTATGATTTTATTTGTATAAGGACTCAAAGTTCCTAGAAGAGAAGTCTAAGGCAAGAGAAGTGTGGCACACAGCTTGGCCCAGTAATACTGTAATATTATAAGTGAGAAATAATTTTGATAATACAATGCTACCACTAAGTAGCCCCCTATAGATTAATGCTGATTCTTACGGAGAAGGGAGCTACAACTGAAAATTGAAAACTTTCATTAAAAAGTATATAAGACATCGGGAGCACAAAATAGCCCTACTTTGGGAACCATTACTGGAGTATAACAAAAAGGAATGGTCAGATTCTCCCCATTCCAGGGGATAACATAGCACATCACTGTAATAAGGGTGCATCAGCCCTATTGGCTATATTAGTAAAATTAGTACTTTTGATAGAGTGGAACCAGTACAAAAGAGTGTTACCCAGCCAAACATTGGTGAGCATCAATAGACAATGATAAAATAGCTACCACAGAGGCATTGTCAAGGCACCTTCAAGGGGATTTGAAGATATTGGAGTCCTTGAGAGTTATGATCACAGGAAGCCAGAGGCAGAAAGTGGTCGATGCCATGAGGTAGCCAAGAGGACCTTGTATATAAGCATCTTCCGGAAGTAACAATACAACATTGATGTCTTGCAATAGCAGATGGTTTTGGAACTATAGAAATAAGATTTGTATGTCATTTGGCCTTATGCTTTTATTATCAGGCAGGTATAGCCTAAGAAATATAGATAACAGGTTTTACACATAAGAAGGATAATGTAAGGGAGTAAAGAACTGTGTAATAAAATAATAAAAAGAAGGAAGTGAACATTTGAGTATGTCCCACTTTGAAGATCCTATACTAGGCATTTTATTCATTCTTTCAACAACTATTGGGTACTTATGTTCCAGAGCTAGACATCAGGGCTATAACAATGAAGTTCCTACCTCGAGAAATTTACAGTGTAGCTCAGGGACAGCATATAGGTGACATGTGTACTGTCTTTTAATCCTATGTTCATGAAAAATACCACGAATTCATCACCACATTCTTTCCTGCTGAGCCTAGACAAGGCTTCTCAGCACAAGCTTGAAAGCAGCTACTACTGGTTGAAATGTATATGCCTGGAGGATGACTTAGTTAATCCTCACAACAGTGCTATTATGTAGATATTATACCCACTTCACAAGATAAGGAAATGGAAACTTATGAAATATTTAAAAACTTGTCTAGATCATATAGTTTAGTAAGTGGCAGAGCCAGAATTAAGCCTAGCTCTATGACTACAAAGCCCGTACAGTCTATATTTGCTCATTGCTCTGGCAAGTTAGTGGGAAGATGCAGAAGTGAAGAAGGCATTGACCCTCCCCTGAGAGGCCTTAATCTAGCCAAGCAGGAAGTCAGATAAACAGATCATAACAATAAGTAAACAGCTTTCATAGAATGCTACATAATGTATTAAGGGGACACAGAACTTGTATACATACTCACCATAGAAGGATTTTAGTGAGACAAATTCCGTTAGATATTTCCACTCAGTCGACTCGATGGCAGTTAGTTTGTTTTTTTTGGGGGGCGGTGGGGGGGATTCACAGGCTCCTCCTGGTTGTCTAATTCAGATGGTGATATTAGCCACCCAGAATAAGCTAAAACTCTTGGAATCATTCTTCTTTCTTCCTCCAAGTAAATTAACTAAGTCCTGAATATTTTTTTAAATTTTCTAAATATATATTATGTATTCCTGTTTTCTCCATCACTACTATTACTACTGTATTTTAGGTTCTCACCATCTCTCACTTAAAGCATTGCAACTATCTCCTTAAATCCTTTCTGGTACAAGGCAGGTGTATCAACCAGGGTTCAATCAGAAACAGAACCAATAGGAGAGTAAATCCAATATTCATGAGTTTGTAACAGAAAATTGGCTTATGCAATTGTGGGAGCTGGCTAAGAAATCTCCTTAAGGCTGTTGTCTCCAGGACTGATGCTGCAGCCTGACATCCACAGGGCTTCAAGGGAAGCTCACTAGCAGGCTGGGACCCAAAAGGAGGAGTTAAAACCCCATGAGGACTAAAACCCGATGCTCATTCTTGTCTCTGACCTTGGTGAGTAGGGTATTCTGCAGAAGCAGGGGTCCTTTGTTACAGAGCTAAACTCACCTGACCCAGGAGTCAGAAATGCTGAAGGAGGATCCAAAGGAAGGTAGTGCAGTGCGGACTCAGCTGCTGCTTTACCCCAACAAAGTGAATCAGCAATAAGCAACAACTTGTATAAGCTACAAAATGGGTGCTGCGTCCTTTCTGCCCTTCTAATCTCCCAGTAATCTCCCTTTGTGGCCTCCCCTAGGCAGAGAAATACAGAAAAGGGGATTCTGGGAAATGTAGGTTAGCCTAGCCAATTTGACCCATTACAAAGCCATCACAGCAGAGTGTAATTAAAATAAACACAGCCTTAACTAGTTCTCTTTTCTCCAGTCAGGTCCTCTTGAAATCCATTTTCCACAACAAATACAAGAGTAATGCAAATGAAATGCAAATCTGGGCAAGAGCGTCCAGGAAAATGGTGACCTGACATAACTCTTACCTTCTCTACCAAGACAGATAGCTGCCGGGACCTACAGGTGGCTAGGTGGGTGGAAGTGAAGCCATGGAATCTGTAGGAGTCTTGAAGACGACTTTGTTGTTATGTGTCCTTGAATCGATTCCAACTAACAGAGACCCTATCCTGAGGAGTGGCTGGTGGATTTGAACAGCCAACCTTTCAACTTTTCGGTTAACAGACAAGCACTTAACCATTGCACCTCTTGAAGAAGACTATGCTGGCTTTTTCCCCTTATGGTACAGCTAAGTACTTAGGGACTAGCACTGGATTCCTGGGGAAACATTTATACAGCTGCAAGTCCTGAGAAAAGCTTGAAGCACACAATGTGGTTCATCTCCCTGGAAGTAGCTGGTTGGCTGGCAAAGTCCTCCATACACCTGAGGCTGTGAAGTCTGAGGAGACCAGGGGACTAGTGCTCAGCCTTCTTCAATAACACTGATCCACAAGACAGCAATTATTTTGCCTTCTTCCACTCTAAGACCTAAGTCCCAATGAATAAGTAATTCATCTGAGGAGGGTGAACATCCAAAGAGAAAACGATTTTTTACGACTTTCTAAAGTGAAATTTATTTTGTGACAGTTTAGTTGATCGACTGAAGGGGAAGAAGACTGGGTCTAACCCATCTGTTCTGCTGAGAGCCAAAATAGTGGCCTGGAAGATCAAATACACCTACTCCTCACATACCGACTATCTCCTTTAGCCAACATTTCGCATTTAGACAATAGTAAAAAAAAAAATCTATCCCACTATTTTGCACAACAACAAGGCAGCTGGCATGATGGCAATGGCTGCTGAGCGGCCCCTCTCTCCCGGGGGGTCTCCAGGTGTTCTCCAGGAAGCTGGGCCACACTGTCCCGAGACCTTCGCTCCCTCTGGCGGGGAGGGTCGGGGTGGGGTGTTACTGTGTGGGCAGGGCTCCTCCGGGTGGGCCTCCCAGAGAATGCGCAGGCAGCAGCGAGCCAGCTGGCGCCTATTCTGGGTTCCCAGCTCCTATGCAGTCTGAGGCCCTGCACCTCAAAATCGCTGCGGGGTAGGAAGGAAGGAAAGAAAAGAAGCATCGGAGAGGGTGTTTGTAAGAAATGCGTGTGAGTTTAATGACATCCCGTGGTGAACTGAACTGGACCTGAAGCCTCCGCCTCGGTGGAGCCCTGAGCCTGGCTAACTCGCGAGGCCCGGAGGGCAGAGCAGGCTCCACGATGGGATCGTGGAGCCCTGGAGGCAGCTAGGGAAGCTCTGACCCAGCACAGGAGGAAGGTGAAGTGGTTAAGCTGTGGGTCCTCTTAGTCATTTTGACCGGCTTTGTCTCCTCCAGCTTCCTTCTCCGCAAAGGAATAAGCCATAACTGGACTCATCACAGTTACGTAAATCTTTTAGCTGTTATTATTTCTATGATATTTTCTAATAAAAAATCGGACAAATGGATGGTCTGAAAACAGAAAAAAAAAAATCCTCTGTTTTCGCATAATGCCTATTTTCACGTAACGACCTGGTCTTTGGATCCTAACCATGTCCATAAGTGAGGAGTAGGTAAAAGAAATACAATGAAACCTGTGAGCGCCGCAACTCGACAGGACTGCCTTGTTTTTCCGGGTGTTGTAAGTGTTCCACCTTTGACAGGGCACAGTTTTACCACTTTTCTATCACTTGTTTTAGTGGAAAATATTTGAGTTTTCCTTCTCTGACAGGTTTCCGACTTACAGAGGTTCTGGCTTTCATAGGTTTTACTGTATTTAAAAGCATAGAGCGAAATATAAAAAGATGGGAGCTATAGTGTTAAAGATAAGAGACTTGGGGAATAGATGCAGAATACCTAACAAGCAAGTGATATATATGTGCCAGAGTAGAAGACATAATAGATGGTGGAGGTCTAATAATTAGGTCAACAATTAAAGAAAAATTTCCTGAGATAAGACCCATGTCTTTAGATTAACAGTGTTCACAGAGTTTGTGCTAGACATACACTTAGGCTTGCTCTGGTTCCAGAACTCTTAGGAATAAATAAAAAAGAATCTTAAAGTATTTCAGATAGAAAGTAGTTACCCACAAAGACAAAAAAATCATAACTGGATTTATCAAACTTCTCATTTGCAAAACTGAAATCTAGAAAGGAGTGGAATAGCATTAATATATTACTCAGAAAAAAGGACTATAACCTAGGATTCCTACACCCAAACCAAGATATCATTCCATTAGAGTGAAAAAATAATTATTTGCAGATATTCAAGAATTCAGAGTATACCCCTGCATACCCCATCTTAGCATCTATGGAAAATACTTAAAGAATGATTGTAACCAAGAAAAAATTGAACAGACTGAAGATGGAGAATATGAAAAAAATGAAGAAACACTGGTGAGCAGTGATCTTTGCTGTGTATGTATACATATTACCTATTTAAATAATAATTCCAATAAATATTTAAATGTTACACATATGGATAGACAAAGATAGAACATTCATAAATTAATATTGGGAAACCATCATAACTTTAATACCTTTGGGGGCCACGGAAATGCACTACTCAGATCTCCTGCTGCAAGGATCATAGTTGACTGACAGCCCCAGCAGCTGCCCCTCTGGATCCCTCACTGTGTTAGCACTGAGGCCCCACTCCGCTGGGCTGCTCCCAGGCAATGACTAAGCATGGTGGATATCCTAGTGTACACCCGTTCTTGATCAAGGACATTTGGATCAAAGACTCCCCATCAGCCTAAATGAAACTTCCTTAGAACTGTGCTGTAGTCTGAGATACTTCCTACCCACTCCTCTTTCCTTCACCCTCTCCTTCTACTGGTGTCTGACCTGAATCATGGCCTAAAGGCTCTCCTTACTTACTCCTGCTTTCTCCCTGTTACCTTTCACAGGTATTTCTCCCAGTAAATCTTTTTTAGTTACTGTGTCTTACCATCTGCTTCTCAAGGACCTGAACTAACCCAAGTGGTGCTGGCAATGGTTGGAGAAAACAGGTAGTAAGACAGGGTTTGGACTGGCAGTCGCATAGCCTGGCTGGCAAAGAGGACCACATATTAGGTGCTATGGGGGTCATGGATAGGCGCTAGGACAAGGTGATGACTCAGTTGTTGAAGATTTCACCGGTGGTGATCTGGGAAAATGTCCCAGTAGAGGGAAATACTCTTATATGTGCAATGGTTCTGGCATTTGAAAGATATGGAGAAAACAGTGACTGTAAAGACAGCAGAGTTGGCTCTGTTATGCAAAGGGATAATGAAAAACCATGGGCCATTAATAAACAGTTAAGGGCTAAATGTGAGAGCCAGGAGGATTCTTCGGTAGCCTACAAAGAGTCCCTTATCTCCTGTAAGTGAAAGAATAGACATAGCTGAGGAACAGACACAGGATTTGATGGTAAGAGTTGCAGAGCACTGGAGATATTTGACTCTGCATACCCACTCCTTACACCTGAATCCTCAGAGTTTGCAAAAGTGGTCCATCCCTTCCTAATAAAATAGCACTTCCCCCATGTGAGAAGATGCTAAAAGGCCTCTCCCTTAGAAGGCAACAAGTGCCTCCCTCAGGAGAAGCCTCCAACTCCTCTCCTGATAGCCAGCTCTATAAAAAAACAACCCCTTGCTGCGGAGTCGATTCGGACTCATGGTCACCCTCGTGTGTTACAGAGTAGAACCGCTCCTTGGGTTTTCTTGGCCATAATCTTTATGGAAGCAGATGGCTGGCCAGGCCTTTCTTCTACAGTGCCACTGAGTGGGTTCGAACTGCCAACCCTTTGGCAGCAAAGCACAAAGCATTTGTACTATCTAGGAACCTTAAGCCAGCCCTGTAATGAGAGTTAAATCAAGCTTGCCTGACTGGGGACACACTAGGCCTGAAAAAGGAAAAAAGATATACACTGAAGGAGCTACAAAAATTAGCTATCAAATACCTGCAGGAGCCAGGGGAGTACCCGTGGTATTAGGGTTTCCAA